CACACACACACACAAACCACTTACTCTCTCTTTCTCTACCTCACACACACACACACACACACACACAAACACACACATACAGACACACACGCACACATACACACACATACACACAGACATTCACAAAGTGTGTCTTTGGAATAGCTCACAACGACGATCGTAAAGGCTCACAGCTACTATCGATTAACCATTTTATCTGACTCAGTGCCCTCTGAGTCGAATTCTATTTCTGTCATCATTATGGCTAATCATGCCTGGCGTTGCAGTCCAAACTTGTTCGAGGTGGACGATACCCTGAGGATTGTAGCTCTCAGATACAAAGATCATCCCTTTGCTCTCTCGGTGACCACCATTTTGCTAATCTAATTAGCCTCGTACGTGGTCATCCAAAAATATATATATTGTATACAATTATGCAGAGCTAAAATTATTGTACTTTGAGACGAAATAGTACCTACCCGATTGAAAGTGGTTTTGAACCTTAGTCATTCCATATCAATCTGCTGGTTCTTGACCGGTGACTTGGAAAGGTATTATGTTTTAAATTTTACGATTCTCAACTAGTATTAGTATTTCCCATCTTAAAAGACCAGGCTTACTCCTAATGGGTTACAGGCATAGATATGCACTATCATTAGCACATACCTATGGCTAGGGTTAACTGACATACCCAGCTGTTATTCGTAACTTGAGAACAGAATCATTCTCCTGAACCCCCCCCAACCCCCTTAAAAATGTAATAGGTAAAATATTCTTTGAAAAGATAACACCAAACATAGTTAAGTAGAATATATATTATCATTCTTTGCTCCTTTATCATGCTCATCCTAAGTAGGCAAAAATGACCTTGGCTTCGCATCACTGTGGAGTGAGGTGGGGTGGGTTGGGGTCAGGCGTGGTTCGTCCATAGAGCACGGTCGTGCAGTGCCGCCCAAAGTTTTTTAATGTTCTATTACGTAAAACACCCACAGAAATAAAATTAAAGAAGCCAGAAGCAAACACTAGCTAAACAGTATATCAAAACAAGGTCTTCACTGGCGCCATAACTCTCATTTTTGAGTCTATAGCGCCGTAAAACATCTACTATGCCAAGCCAAAGTCCACGCGCTTTAGCTAAACATAAAAGGATATTCAACAGTGTAACCTGACCTATAAATCGCTCTTGAGGATAACCCAAGCGATGACGACACTCGGTGCGAGTTTGGCGGTACTGCCGAATATTGCCGAAACATAGCCCACAGTAGGCAGTCTAAAAATAAACACGATAGACCGTACGTTATTATTTGCCAATATAATATGAGCCCAGGAGCAATCCAGCGGAATGCTCAAGTGAATTGTGATTGGTTCATTGTCTGTCTTGTCACTATTTTAAGCGACTCTGTGACCGTGAACCTGAGGGAGGTGAACGTGACCGTCCTATGAGTTGTGCCTTTGACAGGTTTTGTAGTGGAGTAGTGAAAGTTATTACTTGAGTGTTCAGTTCAAATACAGGATGAATGAAATTGATGTTTAGCTAACTAACAGATTTAGTACTAGAAATCAAAGCGACAATTAAAAAGAAGGAAAATAAAAGCACGAGGTCCTCCCTCACCAGCCTAAAGATCCTAAAAGTATACACCGTCTCATTTACTATGCCCTTGACTATCTTCAGCATGCGATAGCTTTATTGTGCACGTCCACTTTTTAGCCTTACAAGCTGCCCCTGGTTGGGGTATGTGCAGAGATTGCTGCTTTTAAAGAGAGGCAGACAGAGTGGCCTTGAGCAAATTCTCCCAAGTAGTACGACGAATACCACATCGCTTTAGCACAAACAAAAAACAGGTTGAAAGAAAGCTGATCCCTTCACTATAATATGGAGATGTGTATGGTTTTCTTGTCCCCATCTCCTTCCATTTACTATGTTAATTAATCTATATGAGCATTGAGCTACACGTTGAACACAATTTCGAGGCACAGTCCCTTTTCCGAAGAATAATCACGTACGTCTGAACTCAGAAGTACCGTGCTAACAACTCCAACTCCTATGTATTTGCCCCTGCTTACTTTTCTAAGTAGACCAAGCACTCATATTAAATATGGGGACGGCTTCTTTTAGTGCGTTAAAACTAAGACACCAGAAGAATGCCATATCAGAACCTTTCAAACAATATTACGAGTATCTGAAATGTAAACTTCGCCTCCAATGACGTCCTTGCATAACAGGCATCTCTGTTGTACCTGGATGACGAGAGTAAATTTCTGAACTCATCGTGCTACAAATGTAGTGATGTGTGCAGTACATATTCTCAGTATACAGATGTGCTGAAAAAAGGTGTGGATATATAGGCGTAAAGACTGCACTCCACTGGACACCCGAAGGACATCGCAAGAAGGGCAGACCCAAGGTGACCTGGAGTCTGAAATGAAGTTCTGGAACCGTTCGTGGGGGACGTTGACCAAGATAGCCCAAAACAGACAAGCTGGAGATCCTTTGTTGCAGCCCTAAAGGCCAGATGGCGTAATGGGTAGTAAGTAAGTAATATAGGTGTGAGGGAGGATCAATTGTGAAATGAAAAGAATGATGTTTAAAATATCACGAGTTCAAGCTCATGAATCATAGAAACAATACACGAAAGCATCAATTTATCAAATAGAAGCAACAAAAGAACATTGCACATGTTCAGTGGGTACTTACAGAAGAGCATGTAGAGAGCACCAACAGATGCATGCTCGAACTTAGTGAACCCCAGCGCTGTGGAGACGTGCGCGGCAGTAGCTGCTGGGTCGACACCCGCACCGTCCAGTGCATTTCCGTCGTCGTTCATTTTCCTAGATTCTGCAGATGACAACAGAGGAAGATCATAAAGCTATGTGGGGCAGGTTTGAGGTCAAGGGAATAAATTACTCCACCAGTCTGATTTCTAAATTCTAAAAGGTAGCAAACACATATTGAATATGTACTACACAGCTATACTCACTCTCTCCCCACCCCCCTCTCTTTCTCTCTCTCTCT